TGATTAATACAGAAAATTGATGAAACACTATTGATTTATTATAGTAATGGGTTATGATCGTACCTAATTTCAGTGGCAAAGCAGCGATCTGAAAATATTCCAAATTCAGAAAAAATCAGAAGGTCAGAAAAAAATCAGAAACATGTTCAAAATTCAGAAAATTTCCCTAGTTTTCAGAAGATCTGGCCACCCTGATGGCATTATTTCTAGCTGCATGAGTCAATCTGGACAATATTTAGCATTTATCGATACAACAAAATTTCAATATCTAAGCCGTTCTTATATACTCTGATAGACAGAAACATTCTGTATCGAAGGGGCCTATTTTCAAACAGTATAAATCGAATATTCATGGACCTTTGTACCGATAGCTGTTTTTAAGTCTTCCCGAGAGTGCTTCAGATCTTTCTTAGTATTCAATGAATTTTAAAATCTAAGATGAAATTTGTAACCAGGGAACTTAACTTTATCGAAATATAACTACTTGCACTAAAATCTGAACAAAACGTTTTTTCGATCCTTGAAGGGCACCCCAGATGTTAAAAATTGAGTTTTCATAAAATACACAATAAACTCGTGGAAAATAATCAGAATTCAATGATGATTCTCAAGCTAATAATATTAGGCGCAGATTTTCTGTGAAGTCATGTTCCTAATTTGGCACACCTCTGTGTTTATTGTGGAATTAGTGTATTCACCAAGATAGAGGGAAAACAATGAGTTTAACAGATAATTATGTCATCCTGTTGTATACTTCTCCTTTATTGTACTGTTCCTTTTCCACAACTACTAACATCTTTAGCATATTTCAGCATCTCTAGGATCTGTTCAGCGCCTTGGGCACTTTATAGTAAATCTTGGTGCTTGGAGCCAGCACTTCCCCCTTGCAACAAACAGTCATTTTGTCAGAAGCACGTAACATTCAACGAAGTTGAAACTCATAAATGAAGTTTACCCACCATAGTTGATTTCAATTACTATATTTTAGTAAATAGCTTATCAGTACAACTCCTAAAACTAGAAAGAATAGTTCGAAGGAATAAGCAGAGTTAATGATGACATGAGCAACCGTAAAGAATACAACAATACTGATATCACACCCACACCCTTTTTTCTTACACGGTATCATAAACGCTAAGAAATATAAAAACAAAAATAACTATTTCAAATTCATTTTAGATTAATTCAAACGTTGAAATATTCAACATCAATGTGGCTAGTGCTATTTCATCAAATGATGATTTTTATACAGCAGATAAAGACATGTGCCTTGAAATATTCTATCTTATCTGGCTAGATGCTAACGCAAATGGTAAAGAGACTAGAGATACAGAGCAAAAATTACGGTCTATTATTAATAATCTAAAGAAGTTTCAAGATGTTAAGCAATGTCAAAAATATATTGAGGAACGATCAAAAAACGATCGATTGGTTATGATTGTTAGTGGTCAATTTGGACGAGAAATAGTCCCATCTATTCATAAACTTCGACAAGTTATATCGATTTACGTCTATTGTTTTGATAAAGTGCGTAACAAACAATGGTCCGATAAATTTGCAAAAGTAAACTTATTGTAGAAGATTTCAGTTTCATTTTATGATTTTCTGTTCGCAGGTAAAAGCAGTTGTCACTGAATTGGGTGAACTAATCGCTCGAATTAAAGCTGATCATAAAATTCAGAAAATCGTAGAAGAGCCATTGTCTATTAATATTTTTACGACCGGTGGCACTTCAACAACAGGTGTAAATGGTCAGTTTGTTTTTTCACAGATTCTAATTGATTGCCTTCTGCGACTCAAAACTACCAAAGCAGATAAAAAAGAACTTATCGATCATTGTAAACAACAGTATCAAGGCAACAGCGCTGAATTGAGTAATCTTCGTGAATTTCGCGAAGACTACTCGTCTGAAAAAGCCCTATGGTGGTACACACGTGAATCGTTCTTTTACAAAACTCTTAATGCAGCTTTACGTAACCAAAATATTCATATCATTTTTTTATTTCGTGGGTTTATTTCTGATATTCATCGTCAATTGAAAGCGTACCAAGCGAATGATACTTTACGAGTTTACCGAAGTCAAATGATATCCAGCAATGAATTGGAGACTTTGAGGCAAAGTTGTGATCAATTTATTTCAATCAATTCATTTTTTTCCACAAGTATTGATAAAGAACAAGCTCTGTCATTTCTAAACAGTTGTGATGTTGGAGACAACATAGAACCAGTCTTGTTTGAAATTGATGCCAATCCTGCGTTAGTCACTAGCAAACCATTTGCTGATGTCAGTCCTTACAGTGAATTTACTGATGAATCCGAGGTCCTCTTTATGCTTGGTTCGATTTTTCGTTTACAAAACGTAAAGCGCAGCAGTGATGGTCGAGTATGGATCGTCCGAATGACTTTATGTAGTGATGATGAACATGATTTAAAAAAAGTTCTCATCTATATGAAACAACAACTTGGTAGTGGAGAAACAGATCTTGAAACATTTGGAAAACTATTATGGGAGATGGGAAAACTTGATTTGGCTGAAAAATACTTTATTCGTTTCTTAGAGCAACTCCCACTAAACAATCCTTTACTTGCTAGACTGTATGAAGATCTTGCCAAAGTGGCAGCACAGAAAGGTGATTATGACAAGTGTATGGAATGGCGTCAGAAAGCTATCGCAATTGGCCCAAATCAACCAACTTTCAACTCCAAATCTACTATTCCTAAACAAAGTAACTCTACAGGTAAGTTCATTGAATAAAATCTATTATCTTATGACACAAGTTGTACACCAAACAAGAAATATCCTATTTCAAAAAAAGAAATCGTAAACATCTATAATCGATTTCTTCACGACATCATTATGTTTCCTAATCAGTCAGTTATTTTCGCTATAGATAATAGTTGAAGGTATCAACGTCTGTTATGCTCTGATAACTATTTGGTTTTGTTAATATACCTACGGTAGATTAAATTTAGAGTTAAACACACTTATTTGAACAAACAGGAAAGTTTATTGATATTATCAAAGGAAAACACATGCATTATTTTCAAATGAAGATATGTTACGCGGAAGAAAGTATCTGCAATAGATTTCGATTTATTATCCTAGTAAGATCTGAAATAATTTCAATATAGAACACTTGTGTTATCTGCTTGTGAATTTTTGATAATCTTCATTATAGTAATGAAGATTGTACACCAAGTATTTCAAACACTATTATGTCTCATGAAAAAGAATAGTTTATAATATGCGTAAGTGGTACTTAAAAGAAGATATTCATAAATGAGACAAAATCGATTTTGTTTTGTTTTGTTGGATATCAGATTAAATTATGTTTTCTTCAAAGCAAGAAACTTTCTTCTTTACTAATAAGCTACGGTCTTTTTTAATGTTAACTCTTCAATAGCGGTTATCACTACCTGTTAAAGAAATTCTATGTAAAATGTTGAAATGTATAAATATGCTGCTTTCGAATGATTTTGAAACTTAGGTGATGCAAAAGTTCTGATTTTTTTCTTGACTACAGAAATGCTCATTTATCTGATTTTATTCATATTGATGGCTGAGAAATCGAGATTTACTTAAAAGAAATAGATATTACTGATTCGTGCCATCTTATCATAGAACCAATTTGTCTATAGATAGTTTCAAAGCATGATATGACATGAAGAAAGAGACTACGATGACGTCAATGAACACTATATGAGATATATTTTTGTATGAGAATACATCCTATTCCGCAATATTGAACATTCCGGAACCAATTCCATCTAATTCTCGGAATTCCGTTTATCACTTCCGATTCAATTCCGGAATTACACGGAATTCCTACGGATTCCGCCTAATTCCCAACGGTTCCGGAATTCAGTGTACCCACACTGACATCCACACCCACACTTATGACAACGCCCACATTTACACCCACACCATACAATTCCGGTACGGAATTCCGGGAATTAGGTCGAACAGGAATTGAACAAAATTACACGGAATTCACGGAATTCCGGACCGGAATCGGATCATCACTAAATGGGTAAGAGGCGATAGAATAGTAATAGAAGTTTTGATTTCAGAATTGTACGGAATACCGGGAATCGGACAGTGTTCATATTTGACCTAATTCCGGAATCGACGGAGCTGATTCCGGGGGCGGAACTGGTTCCGAAATGTTCAACATTGCGGAATAAGATGACTGCTCGATTGATGAAGAAATAGAGATCGAGTACTTGTTAATGTGTGTTATTAAAATCATACAGAATTCAAGTAAACCCTATCAATAGATTATAATAATAAAAACATTCGATAAAATCTGTAAGAACAGTTCGATCTCATTTTGATGTTAAATGAATCAATGGGAATAATGTAATAAATTGACGCATCTTTCTGAAAGCAACAAAATTTATATAAATCGATAGTGGAGCCGTCGTTTTTAATATTCCTTTCATTTCTGATTGATTCGATAAATTTTGAGATCCAATTGTAGTAAACTCATGTCTA